TATATCAAAACTATCTTTTTATCTTTGTATATTTATTCTATACATTTGTATGTAATACATGCTGATTTGTTTTGTACTCGGTGGCTGTACATACAGGGTTATAGTATCTATCTATCATCAACGTTTCTGTTCTTAACCTTACGGGGTTTTACGCCGTTCTATCATTTACAGTGGGAGACCGTGCACTTTTACCAGACTATTGCCAAAGACGGTCTGAGGAATAGCAAGCATGGCCACACAGCTGTTGTGCTGACTCAGCTACAATCCATGGCCAAGGAAGAGAATGTATTCCTTCACTCGCGTCAGCGTATGGTATGTGCTTATCTGCATATATAACATCACATGTGTATCGAGTTTCCGGTAGTACCTCTACGGAAGTAGCTAGGAGTGTGTCGTGGAGTGTTTGAATGGCCTTCATTCGCTGTTTATGCCAATATGCCGTTGTATGCTGTCATCTGGTCCGCAGGGCTCGCTCTGTGCACACGCATGAACGTGCAGTGATTCATGTAGTATGCTAGTTAACATGCCCATACATTCTCTCTGTGTACACGATCCACATACATGCAAGTTAACATACTTATATATTATCCTACACACCACCGCCTGGAACCACTTGAACACTCAACTTATGCCACTTTAACTTGAAACCCTCAGCCTTAACCCTAGACCCTAAACCCTGGAACCCATAAAACCCCAATACCCCTTCACACACTCCACCGCACAGATCACAGAGCGAGGCTTTGGCGTGGCGCTGCAGTACACCAAAGAACACGACTCGCAGTTGCCGTTGAAGCTGGAGGAGACAGTGGGATGGATAGCCGTGGCCCACGGTGATACGTTATTCACTAAGCCCAATAATACTACCGTGTGGATTGTGGCCGAAAAGGAGGTTGCCACTCTGAATGAAGGTGTGCCTGGGGTGGGTCCTGCGCTACTTGGCAAGGCAGTGTTACTGTGTGAGAGTCAAGCTCATGCTGGCTGTGGATTGGGCCTTTGATCATGTTTTGTAGTCGTTCTAGAAATGTCCGTGTCATGCATTATTGACACTCTCGAAGGGGACGGCATAGTGTGGGGTATATATCATGCTACTGTTGACGTCTCCGTATACCTGCTGCCCCTTCCTATCCATGTATAGACTCGTATGTTTGCTTCATCCATGCGTTGTCATTCGCCAGCTTGTTCACTAACAACACCTTTACTGTTGCTCTGTAGGAATCGTGTTTGCTATCATGTTATTCATCGTACTCGGTGTAGGTGTCTTCCTCACAACAACATGTTTATATTACCACCTCTACCATCGTTCTGGGTGTAGGTATCTTGGGCTCTACTTTCGATTTTGTCCACAGCCTTTCGATTGCCGATGCGACCATGAATGTGGATATGGACGGACCTTTGGTGTACACTAGTTTGCAAACGTATCCTGACCACACACCATCGGAGATCAAGGTCGACAGCAAGGACCTCCATGAGGTAGGCGTGTAGTATCTACCCATGGCATCTCAATAGATATGCATGTCATATGCCATACG